CCGCCCCCCACAAAAGTTCTGGGCTATAAGGGAGAACAGGAACAGGAAGCTCTCCACCAATTTATTTGAATAATAATGACAATAATTATGTTTATAATCACAATAATAGCAGACAACACTTATTAATGTACCAGGCATTTTTCCAAGCACTTTACAAATATTAACTAGTCAATTCTCACAGCCCTTTGAGATGGCTGCTATTGTCATCCCCATTTAATAGGGGAGAAACTAAAACACAGAGCAATTCAAGGAACTTGCTCAAGGTGACATGATTAGTAGGAGGTAGATTTGAGTATGAACCCAGGCAGTATGGCTCTGCACTTGACTAGAAGCCCCTACAGACCTGTACTGTATTATTCGGCATTCACAGCTCACAGCTCCTAACCTCAATGAAGGGCACTAGAAGTTATTTAGAGGTAAAAAAAAAAAAAGGAATTTCATTTTCAAAAATCTTAATTTCCCATTAGGTACCAGGCACAGTGTTAGTCATGGGCACATAGAGAAAAAGAGACAGACTCAACTCCAGGGTTGACCCACAGGTAGACCCACAGTCTAGAAGCAGAAGAGTCAGCAAATGCAGTACGTGAGATATGAGAGGCACACGGAGAGTGTGTGGGAAGGAGAGGCACGGAGCCACGAAACCTGGGGGGGCTCAGGGCAGGATTCCTCATCTGAGTCCTGAAACTAAACTCATTCTCTGAGTTGCACCAAAAGGCCTTAGTATTCCAGCCCACGGTGGGGCCCACCAGTCTTGAGTCAACAAAAAACTGAAGTGTGAAAATTTGAAAAGGAGCGGGAGCAATTCTTCTCTTTCTTTCCCCCTGGACAACGACTGGGTTTTGCCCTTCGATTCTCTTGTGCCTAATTAGCCGCTGAAGACGCTAACCAAGCTTTGGTTGAACTTCACTGGGATTTTAGGGAATCACGTGGCTGTGAGAGGCAAATCAGTGCCTGCTTCCAGGGTTGGCTCTGCTGAACAATTGTCCAAGACAATGGACAATGGAAGCTACTGGAGGCTGAGAAGTTAGGCTACAATTCTGTATTTCTTTCATAAAAAAAGTATGGTCAAATAGAGAGCCCAGAAAGAAACCCCCATAAATGGAGTCAACTGATCTTTGACAAAGGAGCCAAGGCAATACAGTGGGGAAAAATTGGTGCCTTTAACACACAGTACTGGAACTATTGAACATCCACATGCAAAAAAAAAAAAAAAAAAAAAAAAAAAAAAAAAAAAAGGCAACTGGACACCGACCTCACACCCTTCACAAAAATGAACTCAACATGGACCACAGACACACATGTAAAATGCAAAACTATAAAATTTCAGGAAGGTGACACTTAGATGAAGAAAACCTAAATGCCCCTGGGTATGGTGCTGCCTTGTTAGATACAACAACAAAGACACAACCCAGGACAGAAATAATGGGTAAGCTGGACTTCATTAAAATCGAAATCTTCTGCTCTGCGAAAGACAAATACCAAGAGAATTAGAAGACAAGCCACAAACTGGGAGAAAATACTTGCAAAAGACACAGCTGATAAATGGCTGCTATCCAAAATATACAAAGAGCTCCTAAAATTCAACAATAAGAAAACAAATAACCTGATGAAAAAGTCGGCCAAAGGCCTCGCTAGACCCCTCACCAAAGAAGACATACACATGGCAGTTAAGTGCATGAAAAGCTGCTCCACACCCTATGTCCTCAGGAAAATGCAGATTAAGATAACTGAGATACTATTACACGCCTATTTGAATCACCAAGATCCAGAATGCTTGATAAAACCTTGCTGGCAAGGATGTGGAGCCACAGGAACTCTCGCACATTGTTTGGTGGGAATGCAAAATGGCACAGCCACGTTCTGTTGGGAGGCAGGGTGGAGGTTTCTTACAAGACTAAATGTACTTTTACCGTATGACCCAGCAATCATGTTCCCTGGCATTTACCCAAAGGAATTGAAAACTTCTGTCCACACCACGCCCCCTGCACACAGATGTTTACAGCAGCTCTATTCATATTAAAAAAAATTTTTTTTTAAATAATGTTTACTTATTTTTGAGAGAGAGAGAAAGTGTGCAAGTAGGGGACGGGGACAGGGAGACAGAGGATCTGAAGCAGGTTCTGAGCTGTCAGCACAGAACCCGACACAGGGCTTGAATTCATGAACCGTGAGATCATGAACTGAGCTGAAGTCGGACGCTTAACCGACTGAGCCACCCAGGCGCCCCCCAGCTCTCTTCATAATTGCCAAAACTTGGAAGCAACCAAGATGTCCTTTGGTGGAGGATAAACAAACTGTGGTGTATCCAGACAACAGAATATTATTTATTCAGTGCTAAAAGGGAATGAAGAGATGGAGGAACTTTAAATGCACACCGCTAAGTGAAAGAAGCCAATCTGGAAAGGGTGTGTGCTATGATTCCAACTATATGACCTTCTGGAAAATGCAAAGCTATTAGAGACGGTAAAAAGATCGGTGGTTGCAAGGGTGTAGGGAGCAGAGAGGTGAAAAGGTAGAGCACTGAGAATCAGGGCCGTGCAAATACCCTGTATATTACAATGGTGGGTATGTATCATATTTTTGTCCAAACCTGTAGCATGTGCAACACCAAAAGTGAGCTCTAAGATGAACTGTGAACTTTGTGTGATTATTATGGGCCAATGTAGGTTCATTCGTGGTTTAAAAAAAAAAAAAGGACTTTCTGGTGAGTGATGTTCATAATGGGGGAGGCTATGCATGTGAGGGGGCAGGGGTATATGGGAAATCTCTGTACCTAAATCTAAAACTGCTCTAAAAAAAAAATAAAGTTTTTTTTAAAAGGTGAAATGGATGAAAACCATCAGTGTGGACAGCGCAGGATATCGGCTTTCAGCACTTACCTGAACAAGATGTCATGGTAGCCAGGATGGCCACAGAAAGGGTTGGCTCTGGCACCCATGAGCATACAAAGAGTATACACATGCCTGCGTGTATATGCACACTTTTGTACACATGGGCTGGTGGGTGGCAGAATGGTCCTTTCATATACTTAAGTCAGCGCCGAAGGCTCCTCTTGCTGTCTCTTTGCTGCATAGCCACTCTTTGCTGTAGCCACTTCCAACCGGATCTTTTCTTGAGACCGTAACTACTACCAATAGGCTTTCTTCTCCAGCTTCATGTCGTGAAAGATTAGTCTTACTATAAGGCCCATTCAAACATCAGAAACAGTTAAGTCTTGATTATTCACATATAGATTCCCCACTTGGATATTATTTGCAACAAATGTTTCATCCCAATTTTGGTTTTTCCCCATCAGCCGTTAGAAGGGCTTCCCTTTCGCACAGGTCAGTTGTCAACCTCGGGCATGGTAACGATTGAAATTTTTATTAACCTCAGAAAAACCACCAGGAGAGCTTGCTTGCCCCTCAAGCCCCTCACCAAAAGTCACAGCGCATTTCCAAGGCCACCTATATTTGATTGTTGAATTATGCTTTGTTTTTCATATCTATTGCTTTCCATTGTGGATATTGAATAACTGACCTTCAGGATATCTGGGATATGAGCCTCCTCAGCCTCTGCCTCCACCTCTTAAGTCTGAATGACTTGGCCTTAAAACTCCCCCTTTCTATCCTCCCCCTTACAAAATGAGGCAACCAGCCTCCTCCTCCTCTGTCAGAAAGAGCAAGAACTCTGAACTCTTTAAAGCCCTGTATTAATGTAGATCATCTTCAGCAGCAGGTCTGGGGAGTAACAGACTTAATGCACCAATTGGCAACATTTTCCCCATCCCATTTTTTGTAAGTAATCTCTACGCCCGGCGCGGGGCTTGAACTCATGTCCCTGAGATCAAGAGTTGCCTCCTCCACTTACTGAGCCAGCCAAGTGCTCCCCCATCCCATTGCACTATACGCACTCATATCCCCCTCAACAAAAGACACAGAACAATAATCTAAACCTCTTCTTATCAGCGGTGGAATCATTTATATCATAACTATACAAATTTATTTAGGAACAGAGAGATTCCTTTGAATCTCAACATTTTCTTGGATATACAGTCTTTAAAAAAAAAAAAAAAAAAAAAGGTTACCATCTCTGGAATGGCTTCATGTTACATCTCTACACACTGGCCCACAAAGAAGGAGACTAGAGATAATGTTCCCGAGAAGTCAACAAAGATTCCCAGCCCATGTGGGAACTCTTGTGGAAGCTAGCACAGTATTTCACACTTTGGCATTTTTTTTCCTTTCTTTTTCTTTTTCTTTTTTTTTTTTTTAAAAAGAAGATAAAATATTACAGAGATATCTTCAAAATTCACACCTGAGTTAAACATTTTGTTGGAAAATTCCACATTAAGGAGAGAACGTCATTGCAAAAACTGGAGAGGGCTATATACAGGTATTTTGCCAACATAACTCTTACGTATTTGCTTTTGTGTCCTTTCTTCTGCAGCCGGGGGTGGGGGGCGGGGAGGGAGAGAGGGGACCCAGGTAAGGACGGGGAGGGAGAGAAGGAGTAAGCACTCCTGAGCTCCGGGGCAGGTATAGCAAACAAAAGAGCACCTGTGGGCAGAGAAACATGCCCGGGGGCTGAGGGTGGCTCAGCCTTCTGTAAAGAAGAGAGAACCTGGAGAAGGCAATCACGACTGGATCTTGGTTCTAGAAAAGGGGGCTAAAGAGAAAATGGGGTGAAATGAAGATTCAGTCAGAAAAGTTTGCTGAACGGAGAAAACATCAAGTCTTTGGTGGAGACATCGGATTCAAATCTTTTCACAGATTTTAGAATCGGTTCAGAGGTGGAGGCTAAGTTCAGAGTCAAAACCATCATCTCTCCTTCCGGTTGTTTGGCACACCAGGCAAACGTCTGTCCCCGAGAGGCCCACGGATGCATTGGGAAATCATGGCAAGATGTCCTTTCTCCGAGAGACTACTGCCACAGTGAAGCTGTCTGAGATATTTAGAACTAGGAGATAGGAGCACGGGGAAGGAAGGTGAAAATGGTAAACAGCGAGGAGGGGCATATGTTTCAAGAGCATTAGGAGTCCGCACATGCTTCAATCACAGTTTAGATCTCTGGGGGCCCTCGCTCCTGAAGAAGCAAGAGTTTGGGTTGACAGTGGGGATTCTCTTTCACTCTGCTGACCGTAAGCTGTCCATACACAGAAGGCGTGATTCCCTTCCTTCCAGTGGGGAATACAGGGCCAGGTGGATTCGGAGAAACTTTTTGGTCTCAGTGGAGGTAGGTGGGATGATTCCATCGGTACCAAGATCTGGAAGGAAGGAAAAAAAACGAGTCAATGCTAAAAGGTGCTAATGTGACTGAGGGAAGACGCAAATGGGCAGTGACTGCTAACAGGTGTAGGGTTTCTCTCCGGGGCGATGAAAACGTTCTGGAATTAGATTATGGTGATGGTTATGCCACATTGTGACTACACTAACACGCACTGGATTGTACCTTCAGGGGTAAATTGTAGGGTATGTGAATTCTAGCTCAAAACACAGTAAAACATGTGCATTATATGGTTTTTTCGCCCCCCCCCCTTTTTTTTGGCAGGGGTGGTTGACGAGCTCCAGAAGTTTGGTGTATGCAACAGTTATCGGTCAGTAAGACCTCGCTGCCTTGTGGAATGGCCTGGGTTTGGACAAGTGGATTCATTTCTTCCGACGAGGTACTGCCTAACTTTCAAATCTCTGCTGTGCTCTGAATCCGTGAGCCATCTCTCAAAGCACCTGCTCTGAGAATACTTTTTGGAGCAGACTCTTTGGTCCCAGGGGCGGTTTACCTCGCTGCATGCCAGGTGGGAACCCGAGATGGGGGCGGGGGCAGGGAGGCAATACTTCCCTCTGTCATTGTGTCAGCCACACTGACAGCTCCCACTCACGTCAGAACGCCCCAAGAGCAGGGTTCCTGGCAGGGAGTGGAGAACCCCCAAGCCCACTGAAGGACCTGGCCCTTCCTTACAGGAGTGTTTAGAAATTTCCACCCTCCCAGTGAGGATGGAAATATTGGCTTTGTTGACATCAGCCTCTTGCCAGTACTGCTGGCTGGCCGAAGCTTCTCTTTTAAAGCCCACTCCCTAGGGATACGGTCCAGCCTGGCTGTCCACTCTGTCCTCGTCCTGCCACCCCAACTCCCCTCTCCGAGAAAGTGGCAGGCTTCCTGCCCCGAAGGATTGACCCAGCTTCTTGCATGGTCCCTTGATCCTGCTGGAATGTCTCGGTATTCTCTCCTCCACCTCACCCCGAAGAGTTAAAACCGGAGGCGCCCATTGCCGCTTTGGAGTTATTTTGAGATGCAGTGGGGCTGTTGGCGTGGAGTCCGGAGCCGGGAGACGAAGGCCCGCTGTTGTTCCCAGGGGAACAGGATGACGTTCCTGAGGACGAAGAGAGGCCAAAACAAGGGGGAAAATAATGCTGCTGGGTCCCGGGACCTCGTGACCTGGCCCTTCAGACATGTATCCCCGCCCTCTCCCTACCTCCCACCCATCGGCCCACCTCCTGCCTCGTTTGCATCAACACCCGGCCCCAGAGGGACTCTCATCATAAATGCTCTTTGCAGCGCAGGCCCTGGAGAGCAGCATGGCTGGTTCTGCGGGTCCAAGAATTGCCAAACGCAAAAGGACAGATGCCAAAATCATCCTACCCCGGGACACACCCTGGGCTGGGCGTATGTAGCCCCAGACTGCGAGGCGGGAGGGGGAAAGGAACAAGAAGGCTCGGAAAGGAGGAGGAGAGGAAAACGAGAAAAGGGAATAGGAGAGGAAAGAGCATCTGAGGCCACAATTAAAGGTCGCCCGCCCCTCTCCTGTTTCTGTCTCCACAGAAAGATGCCCGTGTATCTCCTAGAAAGAGTATAGCCAGGGGACAGGCTTGGATCCTCATTTTTGGGTTTCCCTAACAACGTCCCGTGAATAAGGGGACAGATATCTTGCCATCCAAGCAAGCCAAGATACTTTGACGAGTGGGGAGCAGTGCTATTGATCGTGTCCGGACAAGAGGCAGACGCTGGGGCTGTCCGGGGCACATGCAGACGTATGGTCGCCCCTGCTAGTTCTTTGGAAGGCTGTAGGTACTTTTTGAAAAATAGAGTTCCGCAGAAAACTGGTTTGGAAAACCCTGCCTTCTATACAGCTCCTTCAGGGATGTGAAATGCACTCTGGTGCTGAGAAAGTATGGCAGCGGAAGCAGAAAGCAAACGCTCGTTTTAAACTTGGCCTCTTCAGCACTTCCCAAACTTAGGTGGTCACAGAACCCTTCTTCTCCGGGCAGAGATTTTAATAGCCATTGAAATACATTTAAGGAAGGCTGACTTAGTTACCTTTCAGGTCTACCATCCCATCATTTATTTTTTTTTTCCAACATTTATTTATTTTTGGGACAGAGAGAGACACAGCATGAACGGGGGAGGGGCAGAGAGAGAGGGAGACACAGAATCGGAAACAGGCTCCAGGCTCTGAGCCATCAGCCCAGAGCCTGACGCGGGGCTCGAACTCACAGACCGCGAGATCGTGACCTGGCTGAAGTCGGACGCTTAACCGACTGCGCCACCCAGGCGCCCCATCCCATCATTTAAAGGAATTCTGGAGTTCTTCAGAAACCCATTGTAAAGCTCACCTGTTCCAGGCATGGTGCTGTGGACAGGAGGGACAGAGAGGGGGCCCAGAGACCCAGAGGGAGAGACCTGAAAGGCAACAGAGGTTTGTAAATGTCTTGTGTCTGCTCCCTTCTCCAGTCTTGACTGCTTCTCCCAGGGTGCTGGGCCCCAGACTGCAGATAGCAGGACTCAGCTTCCTGGCTGCTCGCCTAGTTCCAAACCTCCGCTCTGTCCCCCGCTTCCAGAAGAGGGCCTCTGGACCACGTACAGCATCGGCTCCAGTTCTGCAGACCCCGGGGCCCTGCCCTCCCTGCTGGGCCCCCTGGCAAGGCTTCTTCGGCACTGCCAGGATGAAGCTGGCGTACCGAGGGCTTGGCCCCTGTCGTAGCAGATGCTGTCAGTTGGCTACAGCGCCTCGCTCTTTTCTTCCAAGAGATCCCTTTGCTCGGTGCAGCAGAGCCCGGCCCTAACAACCTGTTTCAGGCTTCCTGGCCTGGTGTCTGAGCGGACCGCCCACTCTCCAGAGAAAACTGGAGGAGCTAAACTTTCATTTTGCCCTGAAGACCTCCCAGCATTACCGACTCTGAGATTGGGAAGGGACTTAAGGTCATTTAGTTCGAACCTCCTTACTCTTCAGGACTCTCCCCCTTAAGAATCACTGCCTTAGCACGACCTAGAACAAGTTGTAATAGAAAGAATGGGCTTCGGGGCCCAACAGATCTGGGGGTGAGAACGTGGTTCCATCGTAACTATCCACGTGACTTTGGGCGAGTTACCTAACCCCGCTGAGATTTGGTTTTCTCATCCGTGAACTAGAGGTAATACCTCCCTTATATTTCCTTTTAATTAAGATTTAATAAGATAATGTCCATAAAGCTTCCAAGTCAATGCCTGGCAAAGAGTGCCAGGCTTGTTAAGCGTCTATTCCCTTCCCCCCTGAAGGAAGCTGTCAACTGTCTCTGGACACCGGTCACCTCTTCATTTGAGCTGAAATCTGCATACCTTGCCTTCCCTTTCTTCTCCTCTTGCCGACAGGGGAAGCTCCAATCGATGTTCCCAAAGGACGTTGGAAGGAAGTTCTCAGGGAGCTGTGATTTGATATCCCTCCCCTCCCCAGCTCGGATCCTCTCATCCCAACAGGATGTGGCATGTATTCATTTCCCAATTAATCAGCTACGGTTCTGCTGTCTTCATTTACCTGCCTTTTTACAATGAGCCTCCTCAGTAGGGCTGGGGGGGGGGGGCCATGAAGGGTGGAGGCAGGTGTGAGGCCTCCTGGTAAGAGATGTTATCAATGATTTCTCTCCCTCTTCTCCTCTCCTCCCTACTGCCACACCCAAGACATTTGTTGTTGTTTTAAAATAAATAACGTGTTTAGTCACTGGGACCAGCTTCTTCTGTTTCCTTCTGGAGGCAGGCTATGCATATGCAAGCAGACGTATCTATGGTTCCCCCTTTTTAGTTTTTTATATAAATGCTAGCATTCAGCCCACACTGGTTTGCACCATTTTGTTTTGCTTTTTGCTTTTTTTTTTTTTTTTTTTTTTTTTAACTGTATATCCTGCAGATCACTTCATATCAGAAGCGGAAGAAACTATGTCCTAGTCCCAAGGAGACTGTGCCAATGAGACCTGAGGAGACGATAGGATCAGAACATGCTCTCTCTCCGCTGCCTCTGTAACATCACAAGCATTAATGTAATTATTTATTTAACATCTTTCCCCCGCCGCTAGGCTGTAGTCTTCCCAAGGGCAGGATGATGTCTGTTCAGGTCTACCGACTACAGTGCCTAGGACTTTGTAGGTGCTCAGTAAGTAAGTGTGGAATGAATGATGAGAACGAATCAGGCTCCTTCCTGGCTCCTCCATGCCTCCCACTGCTTTTCTCCATGTGGGTGTCTTGGATTGGGCTTGGACCAAAGCGAGAACCTACCTCCCAAAGCCCCATGTTTAAAGATTCCGATGCTCTTATCACATGGTTCCATTTCTTTGACACGCCTGACATAATCTAGCCCCCGCCTACCCCTCCAGCCTCCTCATTCATACTCATTCACTCCCTGGGTTCCAGCCCATGCCAGCTTTCTGTGCTTCCTCCTTTCCACCCATCCCAGCCTCAGGGCCTTTGCATACACTCTTTCCTCTGCCTCGAATATTCTTCCCTATGCTCTGTCCTCCCTGTGCACCCTCGACCCCCATTAACATCTACTCATTCTGCTGCTGCCAGTTTGAGCATCCTTCCTCCAAGAAGCCCCTGACACCGGGACTAGGTTAGGGCCCTCTAAATCACCCTCCGTCTCTTCTAGAGATTCCATCACAAAGAGCATTTGCTTAGTGTCTATTTTCCCTGCTGGGACCGTAAGCAGGGATCATACGGGTCCCGTCCACCACCATATCCCAGTTCCAAACATATGGTGGCTGCTCGATAAATATTTAAGAAAAGAATGATGACTGAATATCCCTTGCCTCCAACTTAACGTTTTCATTGCTTTCTCACAGCCTACAGGGTAATTTAGTACCTGTGGCCCGTCGTGAGCCAGCCCTCATCAACCTCTCTTAGTCCCTAAACCTTAGCTTCAGTCAGATGGCAATGTTGTGATTCCCCAAATGCAGCACATCATTTTATAATCCCATCCCTTCTCACAGATGGTTCCTCCCGCCTGGTATGGAAAGGCGTTTGTGTTTGAAGAACAAATTAGGGGGTCATCGCTCCCAGCCTCCATTCGGATTGGAGTGTCTCTCGTCGTCGGTGTTTGTCTGTGTTCCCGGAGCACTGCTACGGGGCTTCTCACATCTCCTTTACTGCAATCTCTTGCCTCTTCTGGCTCCTCCTTAGTTTCCTGCCTGGATCCTTTTCCTTTACCTGTCCCTCACCTGCTGGTGTTCCCCAGGGTTAAGACTAGACTTTTCTCTTGGCTCTGTTGTGCGAACAGCATAGCTGAGCTCCTCCTCCCCTAGGATTTCAGCCACCAATTTATGCTTATGACTCCCTGACCTACGTCTCCATCCCGGCCTTCTCTCCTGACCTCCAGACCCATCAATGCAAGTGCCCAAGGACAGCCCCACGTGGGTGTCCCACAGGCCTCACTGGACATTATAATAATGTAAAGAATGGAAATCGTCACCTTTTCCTGCTCCCGAATCCGCTCCTCCACCTGTGTCTGACTGTCCCATCAGTGGAGCAACCACTGGCCCCATCAGCCCAACGACCTGAATGCTGACAGTCAGCCCAGAGTATTCTCTTTCCTTCGTCATTTCCCTGCCGCCATCTGATTTCCAATTCATAACCCAAGACCCAAAAATTCCACCTTCTCATTGTCCCTTGACTCTCTCCCTTCCCCTCGTTCTTAGTACCTAGCTTTGCTTCAGCCCCCATTATTTCTTTCCTGGGTAACTGCAGCCACATCCTACCTGGTTTCCCTGCAACCAGTCTCATGTCTCTCAAACCACCCTTTATACTGCACTCAGAGTGATCATTCTGGAAAGCAAATCTGATGTGTCAGTGGCCTGCTCAACATCCTTCGGTGACTTCTCCCAGCCGTCTCCTTAGCGTTGTACATAGTCCCCTCAGTCTGGCCCTTGCTGGTCTGTCCAGCCTCATCGTTCCACATCCCTCCGCAGGGACCACCCATAGTTCTGGGAACATGCCATACACTCTCCCTGCTCCCTGCTACTGTTCTTACACTTTCCCCCCAGGAGAACTCCACCCCACACCTATTTGCCTCTTCACTCCTTTTCCTTTTAGACTCAGCTCAGGTATTAATTATCTCCTTGGGGGAGCCTTCTCTAACCACCACCTTGGCAAGGCGTTGTTAGCCGCAACTCCTAAATTCTCCTAGAGAAATTATGATGTTGTTTATCATTTGTTTCTTTGTCTGTCTCCTCTGCTAGATGGTGAGATCCTCTGGGACAGGGGACAGATATTATTTATTTGTGTATCCCCAGCACTCTGCGCAAAGGTCACTCTATGGTAGATGGCCAAGGAATGTTTGGTGAAAGAATGAACAATGGTGTCGTTTTTATGAAACAGCTGTGTTCCACCCCAGACAAGGCTGAATCTCACCCATCCTTGAGTGCCAAAATATTTGAGGACAGTGGCATTGCCCCCAATTCCCTTAACCTTCCAACCATGGCATCCCCAGGGATGGAGGAAGAGAATGTTCCTCCAGACGCTATCTTTCCCTGGATGCAGAAGATATTTCCTACTCCCCAAACTTCCACGTTATTCCCAGCCCTGACTTTTCCCCCTGACCACCGAAATCAGACACACAACTGTCCACTTGACACTTCCTCTCAGATCCTTAGGAGGCGTGTCCAGCTTAATCTGACCAGCTCCAAATTCTTAGTCTTTTCCCCCCTCATACCTGTATCTCTGGCTTTCTTCATCATCTTAAAAAAAAAAAAAAAAAATGGCAGCGCCTTCCAACAAGTCGTTCGCGCCAAAACCCTTAAACTCATCTTGGCCTCATTTCTCACACTCCTTATCTGAGCTCTCAGCACATCTCGTTGGCTCCACGGTTGAAGTATATTCAGAATCCAACCACTTCTTGTCACCGTCCTGGCTACCACCCTCCCCTAAGCTTCCTCTACTCTCAGCCTGGTTATTGTAGTTCTCCTCACTGGTGTCCCTTTGCCACGTAGATTATTCTCCACCTCAGTCAGTTTAGGCTTCTCCACTCACAGCTCTCCAGTGTCTTATTTCATACAAACCCAAAGCCAGGGTCCTTTAGTGACCTCCATGACTTTGGGTGGTCTGCTCTCTGTTATGTCTCTGATTTCCCCTCCTATTCTCGCCTCCTTCCTCACTCTGCCCCAGCCATACTGGCTTCCCTCTGTTCCTCAAACATGCCAAGTCTTTTTTACTTGCTGGTCCCTCTGCCTGGGACACTCTTTCTTGTAGATACTTCATCTATTTCCAACACTTTGGGCTCCACTCAAATGTCACCTTCCCAGGGAGGTCCTCTCTGACCTCTCTATTAAAAAAGCATCTCCTCATAATTACGTCCACTCCCCTTACCCTTCTTTATTCTTATGTTTATTTCACATATGGCATCTATTTGCCTATTTATTGTATGCCCCTCTCAACTTCCGACGGCCATCTTTCCCCGGATGGAGAAGACTCTTCACCTTCCAGGCACCATTCCTGTTCCTGCCCCCTCCCTCGCCGCCCCCCCCCCCATGCTTGGCGGGCAGCTTGGTTCTTGGCCACTTACCAAGCGGGAGTTGTAGATGGGAGATTTGATGGGTGTGGTCACGGGGCAGTTGATTCGCTTCTCCTTCTGACGTCGATTGCAGAACCAGACTCTCACCACCTCCTTCTCCATGGACAACTGCTCTGCAATCATGGAGATCTCTTCTGAGCTGGGTTTGGGGTTCTGCGGAGACCAAAGGGATAGAGTGTGGTCAGCAGGAAGGGGGAACAGGGTCAAGAATCAGGGGTGGGGGCCAGAAGTTCCAAGGAAACAAGATAGGCCAATGGATGGATCAAAAGCTTTAGAATCAGACCTAGGATGGAATGCTGGCTTTATCATTTACTGTGTAGCTTTAGGAACCTTTCTTAATTAACTTCTCTGAGCCTCAGTCTTATCATGTATGAAGTGAGAACAATAATGTCTACTGTATAGGATTGTTGCGAGGCTAAAATGAGAAACCATGTGTAAACTGCCAAGCCCAGGGCCTGCCACAAAATACAGGATCCACAAATGTAGCTCTCTTCCCTCATTTCTTACTTCAGGAGAAATTCTGAAAGGAGAAGTCCTTTGACATGTGTGTGGGACGGGCAGAATCCCGAACCCCATGTTTCGCCACACAACCTGATAACCTTTTCTTGTGTTATTGCTTCCTGTCCCACCTCAAAATAGGAAAACATAAACTAAAGCATGTGGATCCAAGACTGTGGAGACATATATATTCAGCACTTTCTTGTTCCAACCCCTCCCTCCACCCAATCTTTGATCTCAGCCCCTTTCCCTCCTTCCTACACACCCCCTCCCTTACTCAGGCTGCTCCCAGAAACCTAATCAGCAGGAAAAGCCAGCTCTTGTCATTCTGCCAGCAGGATGCAGCCATCAAATCCTTGAGCCAGATGCACCAGCGAATGAATTCGCTGGAGCGGGCAGCAGTCTTGGAGGCCTGGGGCCCACAAGATTAAATGAGGCCAAGGGCACATCCTTTAGGGACCTGGGTCGTGTGGATAGAGGCTCTGAAGGCTGGTATCCAAGGGATCCCGATTAGAAGCTGTGTAGACCACACCTGTTTTCCTTCTTCTCTTCCCTAGCTCCCACAGGGCACAAAGCTGGTATTATTATTAGCTTCTACATACTGGCTCAGGAATATGCTTTTGCTACAAGTTCAAACAAATGTATCATATTATATGATCACAAGTATTTAAATGCGTGTGGAGAAAGAAGCAGAAGGAAATACGTTTAGATGCCATTTGATGGTAGATCTTTTTTTCCTTCTACTTCTCTATATTTTCCTAACTGTTTACAGTGGGCATTTACTACACTGATAATTCTAAAACTACAAATCAATGCATAGAAAGTAAAGAATTTCAGATGGTAACTGTACTTGTTATGATGAGCATTTTGTAATGGGTAAAATTGTTGAATCCCTGCCATACACCTGAAACTAATATAATATTGTATGTCAACTAAGGTAAAAGAAAGAAAGAAAGAGAGAAAGAAAGAAAGAAAGAATTTATATGGAGTGTTCTGGCTTTGCTCCCTTTACCTCAACTGGATACAGAGATCCACCCTCTTCTGGGACTCTATATCCCTTTTTTTTTTTTTTTTAAATGTTTATTTTTGACAGAGAGAGAGAGAGAGAGACAGAGTGCAAGCAGGGGTAGGGCGGAGAGAAAGGGAGACACAGAATAAGAAGCCGGCTCCGGGCTCCAGCTGTCAGCACAGAGCCTGATGTAGGGCTCGAACTCATGGACTGGGAGACCATGACCTGATTCGAAGTTGGATGTTTACCCAGCTGAGGCACCCAGGCGTCCCCCTATATCCCATTCTTTAAGTCTCCCGGTGAGAGGGACAATGGGCCCTTAAAAAATGTCAGGGCAAGAAGAGTCAGTGGGGGAAGAAGTTCCTGAAACCCAAGACGAAGGCGCCCTCTCCCTGGGACACATGGGTGCCTGGAGAGGGTGCCTGGGCTTGCTTTCCGACCCTTTCCCAGGGCAGGTGTGGTACCGAGGGGCCTGAGTGTGTCCGCTCATCCAACTCTGCACATCAGCCCACCCGTTCCCACCCAGAGGAGCCGCTCACATCTTGAAATCTCTTCTCCAGAGTCAGGCGGATATTGGTCTCGATGCTGGTCCGTTTCTTCCTCTTCCTACCAAACACTTCACTGAGGGTGGGGAAAGAGGTGGGGGTGCTCCCCGAGGGGTCCGATGGAGAGGTTTCTGTCCAGAGGTGGAAAGACAAAGGAAGCTCAGAGAAGAGAATGCATGGCCAGTTGAGGCTCTGTGTCCATGGCCTTGAGATCCACCAATGCTGCCCCGTAGGCTCTGCAGTGGCTCTTTTGGGACCAGCCCCCTCCTCCCGGAAGGGGAACCAGAACAGGCCAAGAACCCTGCTTGTCCTCATTGCTCTGGGCAAAGGTCTTCCGCGACTCCCACGCCAACGCCTCCAGTGTTTGCGGTCACGGTTCAAGGACACTCAGACATCAGCGGCATGTGTGGGTGTGAGTGGGTGCAGGCAGGGCTCCTACAAGGGACTCTCATGAGTCTGTCTTTTACAAGGATGCTTGGATATGGATGCTCAGTAAAATGGGAACTGGTGTTTTGAGCTAAAAGCAATGGCACTTGGTGGCAGAATGTTGGTGCTGATGTCACTTTCTTTTCAGGGCAAGTGTTGGATGATCACTGTATGATCGGTGGGCAGATATACCCCACAGGAAGGATTCAGGCATCAGGTAGGGGGGACGCACTAGAAACGACCCGTAAGGTCTCTTCCCAAAGATCCTAAGGCCCTCTGATCATCTCTGTCACTTCAGTGCCCTGAAGAAAGCTGACGAAGGGACAAGTCGTTGGGGACAGCTTCCTTGACCTTCCATGTTTCCTCGTGGAGGGACTTCTGAGGGGGTGACTGACCCCCTTGTCTGCCCATCCCACCCTTTCCTTCCTCTGCACAGGAAGTACTCGTCAACATGTGTCTCCTGACTAGAGCCCAGCCTGGCGCCGGCTCTGCTCCTTCCCTCTCTGCCTACACCAGTGGTTCTCGGCTGAGGCGGTTTTGCACCATGACTGCTCCCCCAGGGGACATTTGGGATATCTGGAGACATTTTTGTATGTCTCAACGGGCGGCAGGTGCTGCTGGCACCCGGGGGGTAGAGACCAAGGATGCTGCTAAATGCCCTATAATTCACAGGACAGCCTCTTCCAACCAAGAATTCTCCGGTCCAATGTGTTGATGGTGTCCTGGTAAGAACCCTGTCACCCACTGTCCCCAGACACCAACCTCCTCCATTCAGTATTCCAAACATCTTGCCCTTGGCTTGCACCCTTGACCTCCTGGAATGCCTCCCAGGTCACCCGGCTGACAGGATCCTGCGGACCCCGCTCCTGCTGTAGGACTTTCCCCACTAGTCTTGCTCACGGTGACTCCCTGCCCTCTGGAGACCTGCTCGAGGTTAGCCAGACAGAGGGCTTGTGTTGTGACTCTTGCCTTCCCGGCTCCCCCAGGAGATCCTAGAGAACCCATTCCCCTATCTTCCCAACCTAGAAGGGGTCCAGAGCGCAAGGTGAGTAAGTTTGCAGACCCAAACTTTGTCTCTGGTGAGCCGTCCCCAGGTGGCTGGGTGGCCGTAGGGTGAACAAGGGAAGGGGGCCAAGTCTTCATGGCCACAGACCTGAAGCCATTTCTTTCAAGGGGCCCTCTCAGCAATGAAGCGGACATTTCCCTCTCCCCTTGTCTGTCTCCTGTATCTTATTTCTCAGGTGGTTCCAGGCCCAGGAGGAGAAGGGGTCTTACACACTGACGGCCTAAAGCCTCAACTCAGACAAGTCACCAGCCCCTTCCCTGCAGAATCCTCTGGGGCACCGTCCACCCTTGAGTCCCGGATGCCTACCTGCATCGTGCAGCCATTTCTCCAGCAGTGGCTTGAGCTTGCACATGTTCTTGAAGCTCAGATTGAGGGCCTCAAATCGCGAGATGGTGGTCTGGCTGAAGTCATTACCGTACAGTTTTCCCATCGCCAGCCCCACATCTCCCTGCATGTGGGGACCGAGAGGGAGAAGCCGGAGGGACGGGCTCCTTCTCTTCTTTGTCCACGTTCCCCACCATCCTGGCGCCCATCATGCACGGACAGAACCTTCAAGCACCCACCCGTGACCGTGACTCCTTTCCAGGTTTTTTCCCTCTAAGAGGGAGACTTTGGTTCATTTCCCTCCCCAGACTCGGAGAGGGCCGTGCCCATATGCCCAACCCCTTGTCTGGCTCTCATTCCTCCCACCCATTTCCCAGCAGTGTCCCCCAGTTCCCTTACCAATAGAAACTGTGCCCTGTTCTCAGGGAACACAGGGACAAGTGGGCTTGCCCCAAACACACTGAACATCCGGCCGCTCCTCAAATGTACACTCGGGAAGCCCCGTCTCCGCTCGCTCAACCCAATCCCTTCTAGCTCCCCGCAAACCAAACCTGTGTGAAACCCAGCTTAATGCGCCTCTGCTTGAAGGTCTTGGCAAACTTCTCTAGCTCTTCCAGGTCACTGGGCTCATCAGCCCCTCCAGAGCTGGGTAGATGCTTCGGCGCTGGGAGATGTGGGGACGCTTCCAGATGGGGGTCTAAAGAAGATCCCGGCAGCCCGGGGCGCCCAATTGCCTAAAAGGGAACACATGCCAAACAGATCCACAATGGCACAGATCAAATGGCACTTTCTATTGTGTGCTTAGAAGGCGACAGATGTCTGGGCGCACTTGATTCCTATTTTTTTCAGGGGCGTGGAAGTGAAAATTTGAGTTTCTACAAAGGGATAGCAAATAGCTAGAATAGCTGGGGCAGACACAGGACTGCAGGACAGGGAGGTGGCCTTCTTGGGTTTTAGTCTATGACTCATTGTTTGACTCTGGGCAGGTAACTTCCTTCTTTCAATTTTCCGCCGTAAAAGGAGCTAGCGGGGTTGTTTACTAAGATTCCAAAAGCAAATCTCAGAATGGGACAAGGAAAAGGTTGTTGGCCTTGCCTGTTCTTTTCCACAAAGCAAAGTAACTGAGGTGTTTAACAGGCATTAACTGAAGATAACAGAGGACATCCGAGACTTGTTATATTGATAGACCTTCCAGAAAAATTTAAACCCTTATGACTGCCATTTTACTTTCGAACCCATCATTTTCTTTCGCGAGAGTGTTGTTTGGGTGTGTTTCGTTTTGTTTTGTTTTTGTTTTAAGTTTATTTATTTAATTTTTCAGTAATCCCTACACCCAATGTGGGGCTTGAACTCGTGACCCCGAGATCAAGAGTCGCATGTTCCACCGACTGAGCGGGGCAAGCGTCCTGTGTTTTTTGTTTCTAAATCAAAGGTATTCCTGTGCTATCTAAATATACGTTGATCTCATTTAATGTTGTCAGGACATAGTCTTCCTTTAGTTCATTTTCATAGAAAAATGGGCTCTAAAACCTAGAGTTCATGTGGCGCCCTTTTGGGGTTGGATTGAATCCCCCTCCTGAAGACATCCACCATAGCACAAGCTCTGGAACCCAGACCGAGGGGTCCAGGCATTGTGTCCCGTCCAGGAGCCACTGCCCACGTGGACAGCACTGCCTATATCCGCCCTTGTCTTTCTCCTTCCCAGTTTACCGTTTTCCTAGATTAAGGTGAACTTTCCTCCTTCTCTCTTCCGAGACCTGCAGATTTACAATTCAGATGGGCAGCCTCGGGATGAGGAAGGTGAGAGGACCCTGGCAAAGGATCTTTTAGAACAGAATGATTTGGAGCCTTGTGGGTTTGGTCCTGTTTTGCAGGATGGGGGTGGAAATCTTCAGCTCTCTTTGAGACTTCCTTCTCATCGATTCCTTTGTTCTTTAACAAATACTTCTTGAGCTCTCTGCTAGACCTTCTTCTCCCTTCCTCTCATATCCAACGAGAGGCCAAATTGCATTCGTTCGTCTTCCCCAAACAGGTCCTCGTTTGCCCTTCCCTCTCTACTCTTATTGCCACAACCCTGAGCAAGTCCCTCATTACCGCTGCCCTGGACCATCTTAATAACCTCCTGAACGGCCCCTTGGATTCTCATGTCGTAAGATATGAGAGTTGATCTCAGGCCTCTATAAGATCTCTTCCAGATGGAAGTCTATGATGACATTCCAAGTCCCCAGGAGAGAGTGAGTTTAGGATTCCAGTGGCCCGCTTCCTATTAGCCACTAGATGGCACCCTCTCCCCTTCCTGATGTCTTCAGTGGACACTCTAGCCCTCTAGAGTCAGGGCCCTTAGTGATCCGTGGGGATCTTCACACACAGGAGGGCCAGTGGGGCCCTGTAACCTGTCTCTGCAGAGCCATTTCCTGCAGCTGTGCACGGGGGCACCCAGATGAGGGGAGGAGAGGCACCTACCAGACAGCTCCTGCTGCTGTTAGCGAGCCACACACCTAGAAAGAGGCCACGTCCGGCCAGAGGAAGAGGTGGCTCCTTGTAATTGGCAAACAGGTACCGTGTGGCAACACGGCAGCTCTGTTAACAGCCCCTCGCGCCGGTCTCGGACCTCCTGACCCGCACAAGTGCACTGCAGGAGGTGGTCGAGGATAGTGGGTCTTGACAGGGACCCAGAGGTGAGAGACTGGCCTGGTGGGGACTCTGGTCTCCTCCTTGGGGCTTGAGAGGACCCGGGCAGGGCTGGCGGTCGCCGTGGCATCCCTGAAAGTCAGCCCTCCTTAGGACCTGGATGGTCCTAAGAGGAGTGAGCGAAACCAGGGCTGGTGTGGAGGACCCGCGCTGCTGAGCGGGACGGCCTGGGAGCTGAGATCTCTGGGCTCCAGTCCTGGGGCTGTTGGTGATGCTGGTTCGATCGTTTCTCCCGGCCGTGGCTTGGATTCCTCGTGTGTGAACAGGGATAATCCCTCGCTACCCCCTCTTCCCAGAGGCGTAAGTGCAGCATCGAGGGGGTGGGGGAACACCGGTGAGCAGCTCTGTCCAGAGCTGAGGCATTCTCAGGGGGAGACAGGAAGAATGTGGTTGTTTACCTGGGACGCCAGGCCAGGCCCGGTCTGCGGGAGGAGGAGAGAGCTCTGTTGCTGCGGAAAGGGGAGAAGATTCGGCTGCAGACCTGAGTGGAAGGGGAGGGACAAAGGAACAAACACAATAAAATCCAGGCCGTCTGAAGGACACGCCCCACAGCTTCGGGACCGAGATAACCGTCCCCACCCCCTGCTACCTCGTCAGGTCCCTCAACCCACCCCGAGCCCTGTGCAAAGGGCCCCCACGGGACTGCCAGGCATTGCCACACGCAGGTGGAGGCGAACGAGACACGGATAAGCAGGTAAACAGCCATCCGCAAACCAGTCCTCCGGCTTGCCCGCCCGCCTGCCTGGAATGGTGCTGCACGGGCTAAGGAGGTCAAGGCCAGCCTGCTCTGGGAGCTGCTAAGTAGGCTGAAGAAATCCAACAGGGAAGGAAAAGCAGCTGGAACGGAGGGGCCGGGGAGCTCCATTTTGCCTGCAGACAGCCACAAAAACCTGGGCAAATCTGCAAATATGCCAGGCCACATAGATGGGGCCAGAGAGCCCCAAAAGGCGGCACATGGCTGGCCAGAGGCTCTTGGCAGAACGAGGACATTTTCTACTTGGGAGGAAGAGCTGAGAGAGAAGGGAAGACCAGGGGCCAAGCCTCTGGAAACTCTGTCTGGTGGTATGGCCTCCACCTGCTCGTCGTACTGTCCGAGGACCGCTTTCTCCTTCCCTCTCCAGGAAAACAGCCCATGAAGGGCTCTGCCTGACTGGTGGTCATGAGAGTGGCCTCCCTCTAGGAAGGTCCTCAGCCAGGAGCTCTCACTGTCGCTGCGGGAATGAAGCCATTGAGCTACCAGAACAATGGGCCGGGTCACCCCAACCACTCAGCACAGACCAGAACCTTGGGGTCTCTGGGGTCCCTAAGCAGCTCCAGGTCACTGATGTACGGCATCTGTGGAAGCTGACCTTCACGCTCCTCAGTCTATAAAAGTCAGGGCTTAATTTTTCCTTATTAAAGTAAACAAAAATCTCTCATAAGGAGCTCCGAGCCAGGAGTCAGAGGCTTAAATGCTAATAGTAATCTAACATTTATACTGCGTTTTTGAAATACACGAAGCCTTTTTATATGCATTATTTGGAATAGCCCTCAATAACCTCGTGAGGTAGAATTTTACTATTTTTCTATTTCTTACTGTTTTTCCATTTTATTTTATTTTGCTCCGTTTTTATTCAGAGAGGTTAGGTGAAGTTTCCCAAGGACACACAGCCAGTAAGTGATTTAAAAAAAAAAAAAAAA